ATGACGCTCCCTGAGTGACTGCCAATTATTCTTGGATCTATTTATTTTCTATTTATTAATAATAGATTGTAATTTTGTAATTTTAATTGATTTTAACTATTTTGTAAACCACCCAAAGTCATTCAATGAGATGGGTTGTGGCAAATTTGATATATAAATAAATATAAAAATAAATAAAACACAACCAGATAAACTAATTCTACTTTATTGTAAAGCTCCATTAATAGAATCTTGCAAGTCTGAAAGTACAATTCTCCCACCTTCACCTTTACAGCCCGAGAACGTAGGGAGGATCCCTTCTGAACCTCTTGCTCCTCCCACTATGCACATGCAGACTATGCTCCCTCTTATCTGACTGTTCCCTAGACAGCATCTCTTTGCCCCATCTCCCAAGGTCTTTCCCACATACCATTACAGGTGGGATCTGTCTCCTTACAAAAAAAGTTTGTTGATCCTGGACTAAAGGACAAATTTTCCCACTGAATGTGAAATGGAAGTGGGATTTACTATGCAATTAAGATGCTGTTCAGCTTTGTACCCTGAATTATCTTTTGCTTTCTTGCCCACACTGACTCTGGGGGCCACTCATCCCAATCACTTACTGCTTTTTGCAGTCCGCAGCACCATTCTCACTACAGGTAGATCTTGATTAGTGTAGTTAATGAATCCCATGGAATGGTCGTGTTACTGGAATTTGCCCTATTCGAAGTGATATTTCTGTGGAAAATATGGTAATTGATTCCAGCTCAATGGAAATAGGCAATGAAAAATGTTAAACATACATGTTTATATGTATATTAATGAAATATTGCAGTAAAGGATAAAAAGAATATAGTAATAATTTAAATTTATGGTTAACAAAGTCACAGAGTAGTTACAGATAGCAAAATAAAAACAAAATTCTACTGTAGATTCAGGCATTCCAACATCTCCTCCTATTTTAGCATTGCTATAACCACGTTTGTGTCATTCAGTTACATCAGATTTTTGCTCTAATGTAATAACAAGCTTCTTCTTTTTTAAACTTGTGCTGTTTTCCTCTGAGGGAATCTTCCTTTTCTCCATTTTCCACACATGAAGATTAGCCATCTAAAACCCCGTCTGCGACTGCTCATGCACTAATCTCGCATTAACTAAATGTTGGGTTCCATTAAACATGACCTGGTATCAATTTACATTTCTTATTAAATTGCATATTGCATTATTTGAACTCATGCTAATTGCAGCCTATCTGTATTTCCTTCTTTCATGACTCTAGGGCAGCCCAAGCTTTCTGCCAAATTTCCCTCTGCCATCTTGAGCCTTCTTCTTTATTAAGCAGTGATAATGGGCTCTATGCTTCTTTATGAGAGCTTTTCAATTTTAGCCAGTAGGCCAGCAAGAAACTATGGTTTATTGTCTGACATGTACACATCAGTAAAAACTAAAAGCAAGCTAAACTATGGCTTAGCAGAACCTAAACTACAACATGCAAAGCAGATATATAGACTTTATGCATAAATAAATTTAGAGAAAAGGAAAAATTGAAAATGGCACAGAGATCCACTCCTTTCACGCTTCTTTTTGATTTTTAATCAGTAATTTAAAACAATGGTAAGAATTTAATAAGACAAAATCTTATTACAAGTAAATATATATCTTAATACAAATATAACCAAATATTCTGTCCATTATTTATGATCAGTTTTGACCCTATTACTTCTCTTGTTTTTCTCTTGAGATTCTATTTTTAATTTCAACTGAGTTTTTCAACCATTTTCAGCACCAATATCGTAACATAAAATAGACAACAAAAAGCTAGAGAGAAAAGCTTTTATATTTTGATTATTTGTTTATTAAAAGTAAAATAACCTCACATAATCCCATTCTAATTTTTGTGTCACACTGTGTTGCAATAGTTAGATTCACTATCAGTGAAAAGCAGCAGTGGTATCCCCAGGAATGATCTGATTGGGAGTCCATATACAGAGGGGGCAAAGTGCATTATAGATAATGAGTCACTCTTTGGAAAGTAGTATTTGCCTGTTAGGTTAAACCAAATTTAAGTGAAACTAATTTTACCTGTAAAGTTAAAACAAAAATGTTGGAAGCCACTCCAAACTATCAAAATTGTGCCAAGGAAATTAGAGTTGTTTTTAAAACTCCTATGCAGATTTAAATGGCTTTATACGAGTGAAAGTAGATATGGAAAGATAGGAGAAAACCCTGGATTTTTCCTTTCTATCTTTTTGCATCATGTTATTTGTATCCTTATATCTTGGGTATATACCCTAGAATATAAATAGTAGTTCTCATCAGGGGAGGGAATACGTGAATGAACCAGCACCTTTCCTTTAACCTGTATCCTTCTTCAAAAGTATTCTTTTTTTTTTTCATCTCAGTTATGTCTAATTTTTTTGTAGATCAACAAGTTGTGTTTAAGTGCCTTGGAGAAGGAATTCTTGAGAAAGCCTTTCAGGGATATAATGCTTGCATTTTTGCATATGGACAAACAGGTAAGAGTTGTATTTACACGTTACAAATGGAAATGATATATTTTACAGGGGTTGTCATATTCTTCAGGGAAAAACACCAGTGTCTGTCTTCACTGTGTGAAATGCTCCTTAAGATCAGGACTTGACTTCTCCTTAGGTCCAGTAATTTATTCCTCTCCTACCCCCATCATTCTGCCTTAATATGGCTTTTTATATATAAACAGAAAGTCCCTGTCCTCTCCTGAATTCTCCTTGACCCAGTTCGCTTTCTGGATTTCTCACCTGCTTTCCTATTGTCATGTTGCTTTAACCCTGATGGTCCTCCTGGAATCAGCCATGGTATCTTTCAGAGTTATTGGTCAGGGCTGGGCCTTGGGGGCATTATTTGCAATGGTTCTGATTTTTCCTGTTGGCTACTAAGGGACAATCCTTTGACAAGGTTATGTAGAGATCAGGATTTGAAAGGTAAAATGTGATTTGGAGTATGTGTGGACATGCATGTAGCATCTTTTGGGAACACCTTAAAGCAGCCATTTTTTTTTCCTGAGCTTATGAAGCTTCCTTCTAGAGCTAACACATTCTTGGGAAATGATACCTTGTTGTATGCTATCAGCACCTCCTTAACTCAAATACACATTTTCCTAAGATAGTGCAATTTATACTGGATATTATTTGTTACTTATCATTTTCAAAAGAGAGAGCAGTTGATAACTTACTTGTCCATTTTTAAATATAAAATGCGTTTCTATATTTCTCTTTTAGGCTCAGGAAAATCCTTCTCAATGATGGGGAATGCAGAGCAGCTGGGTCTGATCCCACGCCTCTGCTGTGCTTTATTTCAGAGAATCACTTTAGAACAAAATGATTCACACACTTTTAAAGTTGAGGTGTCCTATATGGAAATCTATAATGAAAAGGTCAGAGATCTACTGGACCCTAAAGGGTGAGTGACCCTAACCCTTTTTATTCTAGATATAGTATTTGAGGGAACTTTGGCACATATTATTTAGGCTCGCTTTATAGTTTGTATTTTTCATTGTTTCCTAAATGGATATAATAACAACAGTAACAACAACTGGCTATAACTAGTTGCAGCGGCAGGTTCAAATAAGAACTTCTTTTTGAATTGAGAGTCAATTACATATCATGCTATGTCACTCCATCTTTAAACTTAACTGTTCTCAATGGCAGAAATGTACATGGACAAGAGTGGAAACTGAATATTTTCTTAACTGGTAGCATTTCCATTTGTTGCCTTTCTAAGAGTCCTCTGCCATCTCTTTATTTAAATTGGACAAACCAATATGAAGTCACATCTCTGCTGCTGGGATGTATAATGTAAGCCTGACCTTGTTTATTACAGAGAGCTATAGTTATTCAAGCAGAACTGTCAGGAGTCTCTAGTGAGTAGTGGTCATTAGGGCTACTAGTTGTAAGACTGTCTTAAAAGGAGTATACAGATGCCAATCCTTTCGGAGCAATGGGAACATTTTCTTTCTAACAGCTATGGAACTATTAGAAAGATTGTTTAGTACCTTTACAAAACTTGTAATGGAACCAGAGTTTTTCAAGGGGGTTGTTAATTTGTCTCATTTTCTGTTTTCCATTGCATCTGGCATCTTCATGTGTCTCTACATTGTAGTTGTGAAAACATTTTTTTAAAAATAAACCTTTGTATTTCTGATAAATGAATCTTTCCTCTTGAGAACAAGTTTACATGTTCATTGCCTATAATGAGTTAATTTTATTAATTCATTTTCCTAACAAAGTTTAAATTATGACAATATTTTTGTTTCAAAGGAGTCGGCAATCCCTCAAAGTTCGTGAGCACAAAGTTTTGGGTCCATATGTAGATGGTTTGTCTCAACTAGCTGTTACTTGCTTTGAGGTAAGTGAAGGGCAAGAATCTAGTCAATATAATGGTATTCCTGGGGTGAAGAAAGAATTTGCACAGAAGCTGCCTCATACCCACACTATGCCATGTTAGATAAGCAGTTGGGTGAATGCAAGTATTTCTACGCTTGTACTGCAAAATGAGAAAAGAAGCATGCGGGCTAACTTACACATGGACAGTATCTGTGTAAGAAAGTAATTTGTCCTAAAATGGATACACTTGTTTAAAAACATTTGCGCGTTAAACATTTTGTTAAAAAAACAGACAAGGGAAATGTGCATTAGAGAAGAAAATGTAAGTTATATGTATTTAGAGTGATAAGTATTTAAAACATATTAGTCACTAATAGATTTTAGATATTCTGATAACCAGTTAAATTTTGTTAGTTAAGAGAATTTTAATTTATATTAATTCACCCTTCTTCTCTTGACTAAGCTATTTTGGAGGAAAGTTTTGAATTAATTATATCAAATATTAAACAAGCCTTGCAAATCATATATGGTATAACTGACTTTTTATACATGTGGAAACAGAAATGACTATAGTTGCAATAACGTTGAGCCAATTAAGTGAAATTAGTATTAATGTAAGTGGGATGAACTTCCTGTTCATCTGAAATGATGAAATGGATTTGTGTTGGCCTCTTTAATCTATTTTGGAATATGCACTGAGGTGATTTATAGGTTCAGCTAAGGACAGGCAAAAATGTTGTAAGTGAGTTTAAACTTATTTAGATATCCTACCACACTGTAAGGGCTTAGGGCAGGTAACACAGCTCCCCCCTTCCAGTCAGCAAAACAGCATAAAATTGTGTTTATAAATTCTGAAATATCTCCATCTTTCTAGGGTTATCTTGAACAGCAATCTCAGAGAGTAGGTCTTAACCAGACTTTAGAAAGTACTGTAGATGCAACTTTAGTGAGTATATAGTGGGAAAGAAGTTCCATAAAAGTGAAAAATACACATATAATATGCATATAATGTTGTATGTTCTGTTTGTTTATTTACATCTAAAATGATAGGTTCATAGAAATTGCAAATGCTGCAACAGGGAAGAAGAAATTTATTGTCATGTCCAATGTTTTATGTTATGCGCCAGGATATAGAGTCACTGATGTCAGAGGGAAACAAGTCCCGGACAGTTGCAGCAACCAACATGAATGAAGAAAGCAGCCGTTCTCATGCTGTATTTAATATTATAGTAACTCAAACACTTTATGATCTGCAGTCTGGCGTAAGTGAATTGAACACAAAGACAACAATTTATTATTTTTGTAATAGGTTGAAAAATTTAAATCTTATCCAGTTGATTTCAGTGGCATTTGCTCTAAAATTGTACATATGACAATTTAGAACACGAATGTATTTCCACTGCAATTACTACTGTTGTAGGTGTAAATAATATTCTTTAATCTGGAGCTAAAGTGACAGTGGGGGATTAAACAGCTTTAAAGTTAAGATGCCTTGACAGTTAAGTTTCGCCAAAGAAGGTATTGAGTCTCTAGTATGATCAGTGAATACAGCTTTCTAACATATACTGCATTTTATTTTGCATTAAATATCATAATAAATGCTGCATTTTAAAGATCCAATATAACATTTAACTATGTTTATTTGATACAGCTTTTCAATGTGGTGCCTGTGCAAACAGACAAAAATGGGTGCAATTCAGCAATCAGGAACCTTACACCAGTAATTTACTGAAGAGTGCTGGTCAGCAGTCATACCTTAGGCATTTGGGAGTAGGAGAGGGACAGACTGAGATCAGTAAAGGAAACTATATCAGCTTTGTGGCATGCTATCTAGATTGAGGGACAACTTAGAGTCTGCGATTAAAGCATTGTACACATTTTATAAATGGATAAAAAAAGTTAAAATTTGTTCATCTGTTTTAGAGTCCTTCTGATTTTGAGTCAACCAAAATCTGTTCTGGTTTTTATTTTGGCTAAATTACAGCTGATCCAAAACTGTTCAGCAGGCCTAGAATATGATGGTTTGTTTCAAGTTCAAACTAGAACATATTATTCCATTTGCCTCAGAGGAGGAATAAAGCTATTATAGATGCTGCATCGCCATAAATGATGTCCTCAAATGTAGAATACACATAATTAATTTATAACTTGTGAATTTTATAGTACAATAATGCTTTGTGCTAAAATGTAATTTAATGTGAAAAAAATAATAAAGTTTTTTGTTGTGGATTATAATAATAAACACAATAACAATGAGTATTTTTGATATTGTTAGTTATTTGTGCTTTGTAATAAGTGTGCAATTTGCTAACTGTTGGCTTCTGAAGATGATGGAGAACCTCAGGAGTGATATATTGATGCCATCAAAAGGGGCAAACCAAATCTTTTCATTCACTTTTTTCTTTTCTTTTTTTAAAGGCAGAGGGGAAACAGGCTGAAATTGCACAGGCTCAACTGTTGTTAGATGGCCAAATGGATGAATAGTGGCCCATTTTGTAGGGGAAAGTTAAGAGTAATAGTGATTTGCTTTTAAAGGTCTCCCTGTCCTATTCCTAGCCTTATTTTCAAAAAAGGTATTCAGCCATTTGACCATCAAATTTCAGCAGTGAAATTGCTGGATGCTGGGAGTGATTAGTGAGGTGCTGGGGATGTGTGTGTGTTTGTGTGTGTGTGTGTTATGAGTTTCCACTTCTGCTGTAAATCATAATAATGTTTGTTAATAAAGTTTCAGCTTTTTTTTTTTTCATTTTTTTCCTGCTTAGAACTCTGGAGAGAAAGTGAGTAAAGTTAGCCTGGTAGATCTGGCTGGTAGTGAGAGAGTATCTAAAACAGGAGCTGCAGGAGAACGTTTGAAGGAGGGCAGCAATATAAACAAGTAAGACATTGATGAAATTATATTTTCCAAGTAAACTGATTCTAGCTGTATTTATAGCAAGGCCTTCAAATCAAGTTTCTGGTGATTTTGCTACATACAAATTGTATTTTTATGTCCTGAGTGTCCTATTTTTTCTGTATTTATTTTCCATTGATGAGCTAGAAATATAACTATACAATGTAACCCAAGCAGTTCTGGGTATGGCATCAAGGAGAAATCAAGTTAATGGATACAGAGTTTTTCAAACTATTCTTTCTATGGGATTTTAAAATATAAGAATAATTAACGGAATATAGGGACATGATTTAAAAATGTACAGCTATTAAATATAACTGGAACACTCAACTGAAGGGATCCTTCACACAATAATAATTAATCCTTCACACAATAACTTTCTCAGAAACAAGTAAAATGACACTGTGCTGTTTTAAAGAAGTAATTTTTCCAAAAGAAAAGGTTCTGATCCAAGCACTTTAAATCTACCTTATTTGCTTCCAGTAAAGCTATTTGTACTATGCTATTCTTTTTAATGAAATAAAGGATAGCTGATGAAATAATTGTTTCTTATATGCTTTTTAGCAGGCCTATTTTTGTCATATATTTGAATGTATGTACCTGTCTCCTCTTAATTCATTCTAGAAAAGATATTCTGTGAGCAATTATATAATAGTAATACATTTAGAGTTGGTGCAGAATTTGAAAATAGGCCACAGATTGTGTTTTCTGTCCTCCAGCCCTGTCTTGTATGAAAGCCTCTCTGCTTCTTCTTGTCTGGGTTAGTTGTGATGGAACGTTTTGTCTGTCCAACTTTTTAATCAAGACTTAAAGCTGGATTGCAGCTTCTGCCACTATTAGGGACATTTACCCAGTAATTTGATCAACCATATGTATTCACAGTATAATCCTGTGTATATTTACTTAGAAATAAGTCCCAGTGAACCCCCAGGTTACTTTTTCAGATAAGTGTGTATACGATTGCAGTTTTGTACTGTAACATGTAGCATTTGCAAAAAGGCCAGAATTATTTGAATTCTTTGAGTTTCCAGATGGTTTGTGTATATCTTGATTTGAACTTTGATTTCACGTTGAATTTATTTGCAAGACGAGACAGTAAGTCATTAAAGGTTTTTTTTCCTAATTATCCTTTAACCTGAAAATACTTCAGGCCAACGACAATAATTAGACTTGAATTAATGAATGCTTATAGCAGATTTTACTATTCATTTATATCTAAGGACATAATAATAACCTTCCTGGATTAGGTTGAGACTGTTCTTAGTCCCTTACTGTACTTTGTTTCTCTGGGAGGCTCATAAGCAATAGATGGAGGTCTGCCCTTCTCTTGCTGTGGTTCCACTGCAGCTGATATTTACAGGCCTGCTGTTACCCCTCAACTGGAGGTAATGTTAACGCTTCAAAAGTAATAGCCCTCAGAATACCTGTGTATTTATCCAGTTCCCTTTTAAAGCAATATTAGTGACTATTAATTACCATGTCTTCTGGTAATTAATAAAGGCTAATTATATGCTGTATGAGAGGCAAAACATTGTTTTCCTGTTTTAAAACTCTTTCCAGTCGGTTAGGGTTTTCTTAATCTGGTACATATCACAGACACAAAGACTGAATTTGAGGTCTCTCCCCCCTGCCACAAAAGCTGCTTTATTATAGAAAATTAAACTCCTGTTCCTCACTTCTATTCTAAATGCTAATTCTGTGCTTGTTTCTATTTCCCTATCTTAATCTAGCATCTTCCTGTTACTATTACCACTATTTCTATTTCTGTGTTCTATCTCTGTGTTTGTAGCACTATGTTTTCCTATCTTAGTTATTTCCTAGCTCTTTAAATCTTTCCTTTTCCCTCAGCTCTTGTAGCAGTCTCATTTGAAAACCCTTTCCACTCCTCTGCAGACTTGCAAATGGGTTTTTTCTACCCTGCCCCCCCTCCCCCCCAGCACTCACAGTCCTCACTTTCTGGAGTTCATTCGTGGAGCTCTGTGCCTGGTCTGTTGCATCTAGTGGGCTTGTTTTGGGCTGCTTCTTTTGCAAACTCTGGTCAGCTCTTCTTCCCCCATCTTTCAGCTCTACATCTCAGCAGATCTTGGGGCTCCAAGACTTGCAGTTTTCTTTCGCTGTCTGGGGACTGCTGCCGAGTTGCTTGCCTCTGTATTGGATGCTTTTACCCCTGCTTCTCTGCTGTCTTCCTGGCTTGACTCCTTTTTCTCCACACCCACACACAAGCTTGATTTCTGATCTGTTTTATGTAACAAATTCCCCAATTAAGGAGGGGGAGGGGCTGTTTTAACCTTCCTTCCCAGGCAGCACCAAAGCACTGGATCCCAGGAGGGAAGGAGAAATGCCTGCTCACTCTGGGCGGTGAGTTCATTCCTCCACACAGTCAGTTTTATTAGTTGATTGCTGAGCCTAATGTTTTGAGAAAGGGAGAAAAACTTCTCCCTGTCCTCTTTTTCCATGTCGTGCATGATTTTATACACTTTGATCATTTATTTATGTAACATCCTGGCCCAAGGTGTGGAAGGACAGCCAGGTCTTTAAGACTGTACAGGGACAGGGCCATCCAGATCTCAGGGGAAATGGTATCCATAGGGCAGGCACTGTGACGTAGAAGGCACACTTTCAGGTTTCCACACTACCTCATGGGGGGACCCAGAGCATGCCTACTGGTGGGATCTGGTGGGATGGGCAGAGACAATTGGAAACAGGTGGTCCCACAAATAACCTAATCTCATGTCAAGAAGGGCATAATCATGGACGTGAAATTGCCTAGACAGTTATATTCTGGACCAGTTGAAGCTTCTAAATACTCTTTAAGGGCAGTCCCATGTAGAGCATATTGCAATAGTCCAGACAGGAGGTGACTAAGGGACCATGAATAAGGCCTCCTGGTCTAAAAATGGGTGCAACTCATACACAAAATAAATTTGTGCAAAGGCTCTCTTGGCCCCAGCTGCCACCTGCTCTGAACAAGAGCCATGAGTTCAAGAGGACCCCTAGTTGCATGCTAACTCTGGGGGAATGCAATCCCATTCAGAGTTAAGGATGGAAAATCTCCAGATCTTGGAAGCCTGAACCCCACAGTCACTTGATCTTGCCAGGATTGAGACAAAGCCTGTTCTTCTCCATCTAGACCCCTATAGCCTCCTAGCACTGGGGAGAAACTTGGCAGCATCACATGGTTGGCCTGGGACAGAGATGTAATTGGATATCATCATATTCTGATGAGACCTTAACCCATATTGATGAATGCCCTTGCCTAGTTTCATGTAGATACTGAATATAAGCAGGATAGAGCACTGAAGCACTCCATGAAGCCGGGGCCTAGATTGAGACCTCTCCTTTCCCACAACATCAACTGGAATTGGTTCTGGAGGAGGGAGGAGAACCACCACAATATCATGCCTCCCACTCCTGCCCTCCTGAGCCACTCCAGAAGGGTACTATGATTGGTGATATGGAAAGCCACTGAGAGATCAAGGAGGGCCAGGATGGATACAATACCTCCATCCTGATCCTGCCAAAAGTCATTAACATATACAATCAATACTGTTTCCTCCAGGGCCTTTTGGATCTGCATGCCAACCACCTTCTCAACCATCTTCTCTAAAAAGGGAAAATTGTTGAGGTCTGCTGGATCTGGCAATGGCCTATTAAAGAGAGGGCAGATCACCATCTCTTTCAGAGCCAGAGAAAACCCTCCCTCAAATAAATATTCATCACTACATGGATCCAACCAAATGTTATCTCCCTGGAGGCCTTAGCCAACCAGGAGGGATGTGGATCTAAAACCCAGTGGCTGAACTCAGAGCTTCAAGGACCTTGTCCACTTCATGACAATCAGCATGCTCAAACCCTTCCCTCATAACCAGGCAAAACGATGCCTCAGGTAACTCCATAGGACCTGCATAGCCAGAGTCCAATTCCAGGCAAATACAAATGACTTTAATTGATAGATGCCTAGAATAGTCCTTACAGTAGCCCTGCAGATGTTTTCCTATGTCACCCTAACCGAGGCCTCTAGTTAGCTCTCCATGGACACAATCAGGGTAGAAAAATAATTACATTTTGCTATCCATATTGCCACAGGGTACTCCTTAATAAAGGCTGTTATCGATGCTTGGTCAGGTTCATTTTTCATCTTCTTCCAGTGGCACTCTAGACATTTTTTATGTCACTTTATCACCTGGAGTTTCTCTGAAAACCAGGTGATTCACTGGGATCTACCAGCATAGAGAGACCACACAGGTGCGATTCAACTCAAGGCCTGTTTTCTCCTCTCATCCCAAGTGTGATGGA